TGGCAGAAGCACTTTTCTTCAAGTGGCAGGGTGACAAGAAGAGGATGTGTTGCCTCCACCCTGCTACCCACTCCTCTTGGGAACTTGATAACAGAAGGGAAAAGACAAGCTGCAGTTGCTTCTCTGATAGCACTGAGACTAGGAATAATAATAATAAAGTCACTGAGTTGTCCTAATCTCTCGGTTCCTCCTTCAGTGGAAATTATAGGGATGGCTTCACTGGGCATTTTAACCACTGATACGTTGTGAACAAGCTTTTTTATGAAGCAGTGGTTTTCTGTGATGTGAGCTGGCTGGAAACAGGATGCTGTGATGAAAAAACTGTCTTTTTAAGGTTAAAGTCTGTTGCTACTTTATTTTACAAACTGAGGAAACAACCAGAAAAGGAACTGTCCTTACTGAACGACAGGTAATCCTCTGCAGTCCCAGCAGGGCAGCCATCTGCAGTTTGTCTGCTGGCCCATTATACGTAAAGTAAATCACTATTCTGCAATCAACAATTAACTGTCAAGTGCCATTTATAGCCAAGAGGCTGTTAAACTTGCAGCAAAAGTTTGGAGGTTTTTCTTTCTTTTCTTGCCCCCCTCTCCCACCTCCCCCAAGCCCTTCTCGCTGCTGAATCATTAAATTGGTCATTTTAACTTTGCTTCAGGGAACAGATGGCTAACCCTAAGGAAAAGAAAGAAAAAAGAAAGCCACTATTTATGGTTTACATCTGAAATAATTTTCAAATCTTTGGGAATAAGCACTCCCCATCTTAAGAAAGCAGACCTTTTTAAAAGTATGTGACTTTCTAAATCATTTTGTCAAGGGTACTTAGGCGGTTTTCAGCAGCTGCCCCCCTGCTATGCATCTTATTGCTCTTGCTGCACGGATGTACTGCTCTAGGATGTACAACAAAGGTGGAGAAGTGCCCCCCTGTTCCCTGTCAAAAACAGGGGAAAAAAATATCCAAGTTAAGTTAAAAAAAAAATAATCAAAGAATGGCAGTGGCTTCATGGTTATGTTTCCATTCACAACCATTGTCTGCATGTACTCAGCTCGTGATCCTTCTTTTATTCCATATTTTTCTGCTGTAAAACAGGTTAGGTTTTTTTTTTTTTGATGTAGAGCTGCACAGAGGAAGATATTGTGGTGGTTAAAAAAAAAATAATCAAAGAATGGCAGTGGCTTCATGGTTATGTTTCCATTCACAACCATTGTCTGCATGTACTCAGCTCGTGATCCTTCTTTTATTCCATATTTTTCTGCTGTAAAACAGCTTAGGGTTTTTTTTTTGATGTAGAGCTGCACAGAGGAAGATATGGTGGTGTTTGTTCAGAACAAAATTGTTTGTTGGTTTGTGGGCTGTACTGTTTGGTTTTTCTGATGCAGGAAAACAAGTTGCAGCGTCAAAGTTCTTCAGCGAGAAAGCTGTTTTAAGATAAAGTTGCTGACGTGTGGCAGTACAGTTATTTTATAACCAAAGTGATGCCACACACTGTTCTTTTGATTCCAGGCTCTACGACAATTTTAAAACAGGCACATTTGTTCTCTACAAGAGTACGTCTCGAGATTTTGAAGTTCACGTTCGCCAGTGGGACTGTGGAAGTCTTCTCTACTCAACAGCCTGCAACTGTGGCTTTGTTGCCAAAGAAGGAAGTGATATAATTGCCTTTGACATGTGCAGCGGTCAGCTCCACCAGTCACAGCCACACTTATCTGTAATAAACAGAGACACGACAGGAAGCAATGTCAGAATCACTGAATCCTACCTAGGAAGAAAAGTAACAGTAAGTAGTAAATAATTGCTTGCAGATGTAAGTGATGCTTATCTCAGCAATCATTTATAGCAGTTCACATCAACTTCAGAACTAAAACCTGTTTTATTTTCTGCAGTTAAGCAGTAGCATAATGTTTATTTTACAATCGTGGTCCTTTGGCCAGTGTTTTGCTTGTCAGTGAAAGACGTTGTCCTCAAAAACAAAGTTGTGTCAATGTGCACACCTTTCTGGAGCCACGCTGTCAATCACAGGAGACAAACCTTGTGTGGAAGGTGCAGATTTCAGATTCAATATGCACTTCTTTAGCAGCCCTGACGTTCCAGCACGAGATCTCTGTGTGCTCCATTTTTGCTGGAGCACAGGGAGGCTGTGCATGGAGATAATGAAGTGTGCCAAATGACAGCCACAGAATTAGAAGTGGAGATGCTTTCTCTCAAGTCTGTGGCCCTCGGATAAAACATTCACCTCTGCTTTTCTAATTTCCTGTAGCTTTTCTTTTGTAGATAGAATTGCTGTAGGACTCCACTGAACTTCAGATGAAGCAGAATGTAAGAATGAAGCCCTCAACTGCTCTTTAATCCCTCTGTGTGTCTGGAAGGCAAGCAATAAAAGCAGATATGCCTTTTCACCTTGGGTTTGGCTATTGGGATATATTAAGATGATGTTAGACAATAGAGAAATTAAAAAGATACTTAGGAACCAGAAAAATTAGACTTGCTCAGATTTGTACAGCAAGTTAATGATAGAAACAGCATTTAAACTTGCTGTGGATTTTGTTCTTGAGAATTCTACTATTTCTTTCAAGAGACTGTAAAGTTGTCTGAAATTAAATAATGAATATTTTAAGACTATTCTGAGCTATCTAGAATGTTTAGGATCAGCTTTGCAGGTGGAAATTTACTCTATATTGAGCTACTAACACAGGGACTGACAAAGGGAAAGTTGAGAAAGGTACTGCCAGAGAGTCTATTCCTATTACAAGAATCATCCCTTTCTGTATGCTGGCGTGTGAGGAGTCAGCAGCCCAGCTGATCTTGGATTCTCCATGGTTTTGCAGTCACTGACCTTCCACAATACATCGGCTAACGATGGATGAAGCTTATGGAACTGTATTGCACCATCTAGCTACCTGCTAAGGTTGAGATTTGTTGGGTTTTTATTTACAGGGCTTCACAGGAAGAAGAAATAATGACATGTGTCTGATCCAGAATAGTTAGAGCAAGAACTCAATGGGATGTCTGTTTACACCTGGCCTTTTCCCCTTGTTCGTGCTAACGAGCACACCTGGCTTTATTAAGCAAAATAAAAACCATCTTTTTGATGATGATACCATCAATCTCTTTTCAGGTTTTGTTTTCTTCCGGGGCTTTCGTTCGTGCTGATGTGAGTGACTGGGGAATGAGCATAACTCTTAGGGCACCCAGTTCTGATTACAGACACACCGTGGGACTCTGTGGCACCTTTGATGGAAATGCAGAGAACGACTATCACACCGCGAGTGGGGCAGAAATCCCTAACCATGCCAATGCTCATTTTTCTTTTATTAAGGAATGGAGGTAACAAAATACTTCTGTTTCAATCAAATGTCATCATTTTTTGTTTCAGCCTTTCCTTCGCACTCTTAAAAACTTGTCAAAATAATAATAATGATGATGATGATGATAATAATATCTTCCTAAGTTTTTAAGTTAATATGAGAATGCCATCATTACATTCCATAATCAATTTCAGAGAAAATTGAAACTGAAGTGCCAAAGTAGTATTCAAGTAGTTTGATATACGATTAGTTTGAGTAGGTTTTGAACAAAGTATCGAGATCTACAGAAAATAGCCACTCTTCTCAAGTCTTCTATTAAAAGTTACTCCTGTGGTTTTGTGTTTTAACTGGTCTTTAAGTATAGCTGTGTGTTGCAGATTCTGTGATCTGTACTGTAGTATCCCGCAACAAAAAGCAAAACAGACATTGATGCTATGCTAAAACAACAAAAATAGTTCAGATGCAGCTTCATCTTTTCCTTTCTTTTCTAGAATTTCACCAGGAGACAGCTTGTTTGACAAGACACCTGCTTCTTTAACATCCTCTAGAAAAAGAGTCTTCTGTGACTGTGCACTTGAAGAGGCTGGATTATATCAATCGGTGAATAAACTGGAGACGGTTTCTCAGTCAGAACTTCCTCTCTTTTGTAAAGAAAGTGAGAACGGTAGATTTCTTTCTTTGATACCAGGCCTGGATGTCACTGCTGAGTATCTCGGTCCTGCTGATCTTGTCAGAGGCTTCAAGAAACGTTCATCTGCACGTGAAATGGACACATCTACACTTCTGCGGAGGGAGGATAATCAAACGGAACTTCACCAACCATCACTAGCAAACACGCGTCTCTCTGCAAGCTCAGTGGGAAATCCTGGTGTAAAAAGAGAAGGAACTTCAAGCTCAGGCAGTAGAAGAACTTCTCCCCGTTACAGTAGTCATTTTCCCAAAAGTCAGTCTGTTACGAGTAGGGGGAAGCGCCAAAATTATTACGAATACCACCCGGTATTTCTATTCCAAAGTCTCAGCCAAACAGACCTAGAGGGATATAGTTATTTTTTCCCAGAGGACCATGCCACTGACACAGACCAAAAGTTCCTTCCTTCTTGGCCCACACCTTCTGGCCTCACCGAGTCCAGTGCTTTATTACTGTGCCAGCAGGCAGTAGCTAACTCCAGTATAGGAAGGTCTTGTGGTGGCCTTCTTGACCGGCGAGTAGAGGATGCTATTGACATGTGTGTTAAAGACTTGCTGCTGAAAGACGACCTCAGTTGGGCAGAAGCTTCCTTAGCTCTTCTAGAGAATGAATGCGAGAAAAGACTTGTAGAAGAAATAAATTACAACCGAGAGGAACTTGAAGGGTCAGTTGAGAGCCTCCTTATTGCACTGAAGTGTCCCAGTCTCTGCAGCGGTAACGGGGAATGTGCAGAATGGGGCTGTGCCTGTTTTGAAGGCTACAGCTCCTATGACTGCAGCGTACCGTCTGGTAAGTGGGAGAAAAAAAATGACATTTACTTAAATAACGTTCTCAATGTTTGTGCAACATGCATTTATTTTGCTGCCTTTCTCCCCTGCTTTTGAATACTGACAAGGATTCCCTATGGTGGCCTTGTTTGTCATCCAGCAATTTAGTTCCAGTTTAATACAGCCATAATTGTTTTCTCTTCAGTCTTACTGCTTCCGAAGGGCAAAATACGGGCTTAGTTTCTGGTATGTCAGATTTAAAAAATTTACCACTTGTGAGTTACAATCCAGAGCTTTGCCCCAAGAGGTTAGCTGTGTTTCCACATGCTGGTGTCTTCTGGGAAGATCTGCCACATCCATCCATTCCCTAATTTTTTACAGTCTATGTGATCGCGCTTATTAACTGCATGTTTTTCTCTTTGGTGATGTTACAGCTCTGTAAACTGTTAGAGGTGGGGGGAGCAGAATTGGTCTTGAAGAATAAAGAGGTACAGCAAATAGAGCTGGGCAGGTTTGGGTGATTTCTTTTTTTTCCCCAGTATATAAAACATGCTGTAAAAATTCAGTTAAGCAGGTATACTGGAAAAATATGAGAAGTCAAAACCCTTTTGAAACAAAACCTGTTAATATTTTGTTTTGCAATGGTGGTTTTGTTTTAGCAACTCATTTAAAAGCAAATAGAGAAAGAGGTAAGAGAATAATAAAAATAAATATTTTATTCCCCTTGAAGTCAAATAAACTGGTTTTGCTTCATAAAAACTATCTTTGAGTGTTGTAATATTTGACAGTTAATTTCCTGAAATAATTTCCACCTGAGATGTTTTTAAGCCTTTATGCAATAATTTATAATAGGATCTTTTTGTTTAACTGTAACCTTTCCAGTTCCTATTACTAGGACCTGAGTTTCATTTAGATTTTATTTTGCAAAGTGTGATGCAAAGAAGCATAGATGAGAAAACAGAACACATATTCGCAAGTGTTTTGTTATCAGATTAATATTTTCTCTGCTCATAATATTCAATAGAAGACAAAAGCCTAACTTGAAGGTTAATTTTAAAGGTAAAAAATGTTTCTGCCTTTCTTTAGCTGTGTATGGATTTCACTGTTTGCATAGTTTTGTTAGTTTTTTATTTATATCTCTGTATCTATGTATTTATATATCAATATAGGGATAGATATAAATAGAAAGCTTTTTTAATAGATAGTTACATATATATTTTTATATATGTATATAAAGCTATCTATAGAAACATAGTTTTCTTAGCTGGAGAGAGAAATAAACATATTTCTTAATGTAAATGCACGTGAATGAGTTAATTAATGTACTGACATTCATTGTCTAACCTCTGCTTCGAAGCCCAGGCTCCCGAAATCACGGAGCTGGAGAACGCTGGGCTGTGCGACATCCGACAATACGACTGCACCTCGGTGAGAGCTTTTGGGCACGGCTTCAGGGACTCACTGAATCTGAAATGTGAAATTACCAAATTACAGGTAGGTCCCCCTGAATGGTCGCAATTACTTTTTAAACTTCTCCGAGAAGGAAGGAAAAAAAAAAAAGTCTAACGTATTATTCATTGACGTGGGCACAACCCGATGCTTTAGTAGAAGCTAAAAGCAGAGGCACCCAGCACTTTGCAGCAGACACTCAAGTCTCTGCAAGATTGCCATTTCCTCCGTGATAAGAGAAATAGAAAAATATAATGGGAATGTTCAGCAGGCGAGAGGGCAGTACCAGCACCCGGCAGCTATCCATCAGAAAAGGGCAAGGGCAGCCCTATTAGTAACAACCCCTACATCGTCGTTCCGTTCTTTAAGTGCTTCTGGAGAGGAATTGAAGTACCACTTCTTTGAAAGAGGACAGCGAGGTTAAAGACATTACTAGATTTCTGTCTCGCATCTAATGCTTGAAATAGCCCTTTTATAAACATAATAAATCTGTTACGAAAAGAGAGAGGCATTTTTGACGTGCCGTCTGTTTCCCTGGGGTAGAATATGGCAGCTTTTTAATGATATATGGCAGCTCTACAGCCCAGGTTTGAACAGGAGATTAAAAATGTCGCACTGTAAACTAAAGAATTCAATGGGAAAATTTTGTTCTTGATAAAGAAGTTTTCCTTAGCTAGTTCCAGCTGATGCTAAAATTATTTTGACAGATGAAGAGGTGCTCTCTTAGATTTTTCACAATGTGTATCCGCTCCTCTGCAAGTTGGCTTGAAATGATAAAGTCAAGAGTAAGTTTACACTCCATTAGGTTAAAAGACTTTTATACCGAGCTCACAGTGAAGCAATTATTAGGAGTTCACTTATCACAGTTTGAAATGTCTCGGTTTTAACTCATGGCAAGATATTCTGCTATAACACCCTTTGTGGTGGCGTATTTGGCTCCCAACTACAAAAATGTTCCATTTAATCACTTTTATTGATGATCTTCTCACTGACGAGAGCAGGGTTAGAAAATGAACGCTGCTGCTGTTCTCTGCAGTTGAGGAGGAAGCTGAGAATTTTTTCCATGAAAATACAAAAGAAAGTATGTTTGGGTTTTTTTGGTTTATTCAGTTTTGTTTCTTTAATTTTCAGTAATAATTACTTTATGCAAAAGTCAATGGACTTGCAACAGTATAGACCTCCATGTATTTTGAGATTAAACTTAAATGATCAAAAATTTCATAAAGAGGCTTTTTGGCAGAATTTAGAGCTAATAGACTGAGTTTCTTATTTGTTTATATTTTCACTTTTGAAAGGCTAAATCAGATCCATTTTCTGTGGACTGACCTACCATGTTAGGAAGGGTGTAGGTCTGGTGCGTGATGGTGAAAGAGGTGATTGAGTGTATTCTGTACTGAGGTACCTCAAAGGTGCAGGACTACTGCACATCTCTGAGTAGGGGTTTGGGTAGGACATGGCCAAGGAACCTGTCATTGCACAGATCCAGAATTTACTAAGATTTTTGTAAAGGATGAGAGTATGTTCTATCTCCCTAAAATGAAAATACAGTTTTAGTGCCTTCTTATTTATGTTGAACTGCAGATTTAGTTTTTCTGTGAACCTGATGAATGCTAGTAGATCTAAAGATTTTTTCGGTTTTTTTGAAAGGTTAATGTTTCTGAAAAAAATAGCTGAACTTGCCTCTATCAATAGTCCAGTCAAATAGCATTATCATCCCTAGTCTGTTACCTTCAGCTCTCAAGATGAATCCTTGGATGACTTGTCCATGCTTCAGTTTAGAAGAAGTCTACAGGGTTAATGGTGTAACCTGTTGGTGTGTGCAGGGGCTTAATGGCTAATTGCTGGTATTTCTCCAGCACCTGGACTGATACATGAGCCCTGCCAAAAACCTCATCCGTTCCTTCAACTAAAGCGTGTCCTCTCCTGGGAGCAGAGATGGAGAGGGATAGAGGCATTTATACCTCAGATCAGTGCTGTTAGAGGATCACCCACTGCTTAACCTTACCATCCCTCTCCAGCTGGAAGAACTGCTTGTCCTTGGTGATGCAGTGCCCAGAGGGCCAAGTGGCAGTAAAGACTCCTCTGCCTTTTCTTCCACCGTGGCAGGCTTAGATAGAAATCTATGTGTGCAAATAATGGCATTTAATATTTTCCACTGCATTCTACTCCGGAGACATCAGACTCATTCAAACACTCTGCAATACACGTTTGGTTTTTTTTTTTTCTGTGATGAAGATATTTTCATAATGTATTTAACTGCAAAACAGATTTTCTGTCTTAACATTTAGTACAGTGACAGACAATGGGTTCCTGGAGAACCTCTAAGGATGCCAGCTGCCTTCCAAAACGCCAGGACTGTTGACTGCCAGTTACCAAATGACGACCAGCAGCCTGATGTCATGGATCTGGTTGATGATAAACCCATTGCCCGGTGGCAAATAAAGGTACTCGTAGAAATTTCAAATATTCACTTACAGATACTCCTATTAAGATGAAAATATATTACATAGATATTATCCTTCTTCTAATGGTATTAAAGGTGGAACTCAGCTTGCTTACCTTGGGGTCTCAGTTTCATCACCTAAGATGAAGTGTTGAGTGCCATTTGAGAGCGTTCTCCTGCAAGGGGACTGGTAGATACAGCCTAGGACCTACAGAGGCACACGTTCTTCAGGAGTGGAAGTTAAAGGCCAGGTAGTTCCTCTAGGGGATTTCTTCAGGAGTGGAAGTTAAAGGCCAGGTAGTTCCTCTAGGGGATTTCAAATGGTATTAGTTACATTTATGGGAAAATTGGGTTGAGCCCAGTCTATGTGTATGAAAGCCTGTGTGAGGTAGAAATCTGACCTCTCACACAGACTGAGTCAATAAGGTCAATAGATCCTACACACTATTCAATTTACCCTAAAGGAGACACCTAAGTGTGGTTGGTCAAATATCTGCCTAGACTTATTGGCAAGAATGATTAGATTTCTGATAACTCTTATAAGAGTTTAAACAGCCAAATGTAGGTGTCTCTCAGGAGCTCACGCTAGCAGTCCGTGCTGGTGAATACATTGCTATCTGCCTGGGTTAATCCATCTTTACTGTCCACCTTGCAGATTTCTAATGATGGATTCGTTTATAGCAACTCTAAAACAATGATATTGTATGATGGAGCCTGTCAGACATGTGAACCACAAGAATCTGGGTTATGTACCTTAAAGGTATGTATTTTCTTACTCTCTATGTTTATTTTGAAAATACAGGAAAAAATCTAGACAAATCAGCAGAACTTACCCTGTTCTTGTTTCCAACAGGGATTTTCCATGCACAGAAGCAAATAAGCACAGAAAGAAAATTGGGATGAGACAATTTTGAAATAAAAAAAAAAAAAATTAACAAAGAGCACTTAATCTAATTAACAAATAAACCCAAACATACTGTCAGATGATTAGATTTAAAAACAGCCTCAGCTGTTTAGTGGAAGTGCAGAATAGATTTGATTTTATTTGACACTTTACAAACTCATCCAGATTTGCTGTTTGATAACCAAAAATTAATGAACCTTCTTGTCATTTCTCTAAAAGGAGAAAACATGCAACATAGATGGACTCTGTTACGGTGAAGGTGACACCAACCCAAACAGCCCTTGCTTACTCTGCAGACCTGACCTATCAAAGTTAACTTGGTCGGTTGTTGACAGTAAGTTTTAAATAGTTTTGGGGGTTTTTTTTAATAGCAAGAAGTTGAAAATCTACTAAGATTTTTAATTTATGGAAATAGTGAAATTTTAAGTTTCACTAGTTAAATATTTCATTTAAAGCTTAGTACCAACTACTTTAGCTTGTAATTTGATCTTGGGTTTCCTTTGACATTTCTCCTAATTTCTGAAAATGGTATTTTGTTTTACAGACCATACATGTAGAAGTCAGGCTTTTTTCTTTTTTTTTTTTTTCTTGCCCTTCCCCTCCCCAGTAGCCATTACAAATATCTAATGAAAATTAACACCTCTCAGCCTAATGAGCACCTTGAAGTCTTTTGATAATTGGCACATCTACATCCATAAATGTTTGTCTTCAACATTAGGAATAAAAGGTATTTTCCAACAAATGTCTCTGATACCAATCGAGAACACAAACTGAATTAAATGGCATGTCATATTTATTAGCTGCTTAATATTTGGACATAATCCACGTTGATGGCATAGACACATGACATAAGCAAACATTTGAAAGTATATCCAAGGCTGCCATAGTTTAGTCCAGTTAAAAAATATGCGATGAATAGAAGACCCAAGTCTGGATTCTTCATTTTCTTTCTCCGTAGTACAAAGTTCTAGCCTAGAAGTTGCAGCTCTTTTGGCTCAGATCTTAGCCTTTGGATATACAAATGATACTGTTCCCTTCACAAAACAGGACATCTCTTGGTGCTTCCCTACTAGCCATCCAGGCCGTCCCATGGACCCAAGTCCCTCACATCTCAAACACAAGTGTTCCATCAGTGTTTTCATGGATGAATGTGCTGGCGAGACTCTGCCTGACTTGGGAAGGGTCCTGTATGAGTGGGGCTCCTGATGCCTGTCTTCCTGAATCTTCTCCTAACTCAAACTTTTAGTGAAAGCCAAGGTAGCTCTCCCTATTCCAAAAGAGTGAAACGTGAATGAAATGAAACTCATCCAGCAGTCAGGGAGTCAAGGGGTTTCCACGTTACAGCCACAGACTGGAATTCAGTATCACCAAAGTCAGAAATGGGAGATAAATGTAACCCAAGGGCAATTCCCCCAAACCCAGGAGCACAACCTCTTCTCCAGAGTGGACAACATCAGGAACAGGGTGTCAGAATCTAACTGCTGATTACAGGTTCTTCTCCCTTCATCGTTTCTGCTGCAGTGGGTGGGTTCCTGCTTGGGGCGATCACTTCACTGTAACCCAAAAACTTAGCAATCTTAATCACCTCCCTATGTCCAAACTTCCAAACCTACACTCTCCCCAGGGCTTCTGCTTCTCTCTTTCACAGAACTCATCCTGGTGCTGCAGTTGTATTTGTTTTTACCTGGAGTCTCTAGAAATCTAGTTATTCCTGCCAAACAGGGCAGAGCTCAGCAGTGCAGGCATCTAAATAGACTAAGACTTACCCGTGAGGAAGTTTTTGTGTGGTTGAAACCCCTCCTAGGAACAATGATTGAAGAACTTACTCCATCACCTCACGCTCGGTTTTGTCAAGGTAGTCCCTGCAGCCCATTCCCAAGTCTCACTCAACGATGTCTATTCATTTATTACAGGAAACATCAATAACCTCTGAGTTTTATGGCTTCCAGTATTTTCATCTGCAAACTATCTCTGCGTAGTAAAAATACAGTGGATAAATTCAATAATTTCCCAGTTCTTTCTACGTTTAGACGCACTGCATCCTTACAAGCTGTTCCATAGTATAAGTATTTTCTTGGTTACGTTGTTACAGTTATAATGAAAATATGTTTTTCCTGTGCCATTCAAATGACATTAGAATTTAAGAGAAATAATTACATGTGACTTCCCTAATGGGAGGATATGCTCCTTTTAATTTTTATAAGTATATTGCAACTTTTGCTTAAAAGAGGAAAATATCTCCTTTGTTACAGACAACCAGCCTCCAGTGCTTGAAACTTTTCAGGGTATGCTACAGACTTTTTATGGAGAAGATTTTGTGTATCAGTTTTTGGCTTCAGATCCAGAGGGCTCTGCTATTCATTTCACATTGGATTCTGGTCCGGAAGGTGCCAGTCTTTCCCCTTCAGGTCTCCTTTTGTGGAAAGCTGTGTCAATGAATCTCCATAAATTAACATTTTCTTTGACAGATGACTGCAATGCAAAGACTAAGGTAGAAATAGAGGTAATGAATATTATGGTAAAATGACACCTACTAGTAAGACGTTTAAGATATCTAATTACAAAACTCATAGCTAGTTCATTAAAAGAAGAAAACTGTCTTATTGGGCATGTCTTGTAGGTCAGTGTGAGATCTTGTGATTGCCTCAATAATGGCTCGTGTGTGACAAATGTTAATTTCCCACCTGGAAGTGGAAGATACCTTTGTGTGTGTGTGGCTGGATTTGAAGGAGATCTCTGTCAAGTGAATACTGATGACTGTAGGCTGACCCGGTGTGGTGCTGGCAGATGTGTGGATGGAATAAACAGCTATTACTGTGAATGTCCACCTGGCCTTCAAGGTAAATTGCTACTTTATTTACATATATTTATCACATTTAGTGATACGTAGGAATTTCTAACTTTATATCTACGTTTTGGTTTTAATTTTTGACTGTAAATAGATTAGTGTTAGAGCATGAAGAAATTTTATGGTCTTGTGATAAAGTTATATGATTTTTTTTTTCTTGCATGAATACAAGGGTTGTTTATATTACGAGAGCAAGTTTCCACTGTTCTGCTCTGCAGAGGTGAACTCAGCAACGTGCTGAAACACAGGAGGGGGATGAGTTTGGTTACAGTGTGATTTCTGCTGTGCCTGCAGATGAGCACACAGTCCCCAAACCCATCTTCTCCGTATTCTGCAATGAGCAAGATACTTAAGATGAAAAAATGTGAATAGCAAACCTGGTCAGCTGTACTTATTAGATGCACTGAAATACTTACGTGGTGAAACACAGGAGGGGGATGAGTTTGGTTACAGTGTGATTTCTGCTGTGCCTGCAGATGAGCACACAGTCCCCAAACCCATCTTCTCCGTATTCTGCAATAAGCAAGATATTTAAGATGAAAAAATGTGAATAGCAGACCTGGTCAGCTGTACTTATTAGATGCACTGAAATACTTTCTTGCACTTGATAGATGCCCTTTTTGTATTTCACCACCTGTACACGTTCTGCTTTTATCTTGTATAAACTTACCATCAAAGCCTAGTGACACAGTATTATAAAAAAAATAATCTGTATTTCAATGCAGGTAAAAATTGCGAAGATGATGTAGACGAATGTGAGTCCAGCCCTTGCTTCCCAGGAGTATTTTGCTTCAATACCTTTGGTTCTTACCATTGTGGTCCGTGCCCAAATAATCTGCAAGGAGATGGGAAGTCATGTTACGGTAAAATTATTCGGTTTTCAGATGAATGCTATTATCTTATTATAATTCAGATAAAATATATTTGGTTGTGCTTCATGTTTCTAACATGAACTCAGAACCTTGTTCAGTAATCAGCAAAAGGGGACGGTGTCTCTAATTGCTGGTGGCTGGGACAGAGTCTCAGATGATGACATCAGACTGCATCGGGTCACATAGTTGTAAAACGCTTTTTCAGGTGATTAGAAAAAAATAGATACAAAATACCCCAAGTAGAATGCAATGAAATGGTTTGGGTTTTTTTTTCTGCGTTATTTTCATTTATGAGCTATTATTGATAAAACATTTTTCTATTAGATTGCTTAACGGAAGTATTTACCAAGATCAAGTCACTTGACAAATAAGGTGACCAAACATTTATTTACGGTACAATTACTGAATAACTTGTACTTTAAAAATACTCCATTAAAAACTGTCAAGGAATGTTTTTTACTCTTTTTCTGTTTCTGAATTTTGAGGTTTTTTTAGCTACTAAAACTTTGACCCTGCTTGTAATTTATTTGCAGTTGAAACAAAAGTAGCTTCTAATGTGCCTTTACATCTTTTGTTTTTAGAAAGCTTTGAAGACACTAATGATGAAAAGAAGGATTCCACAGGAGAAATTGGAAGGAATAAAGGTGATTATTTTTTTTCATGAAGAAAATGGAATTTCTGATTCCCATCCTGATAAGTATATAGCTGGCAAATAAAGGTTCTAGTCAGTTTTATGTTATTCACTTTAATTTTTCAGCTTGACTCAATTTAATTCATTACTGGGGCTGTAGTATGATCTGAAAAATGAGACTGAAATGTCAATATCAACAAATCCCTTAGGTCAGCCAAGCCATTTTATTGACAGTGTGATGTACGACGTTCTCACCGTTGCCTTTTGTTTTTGTGACTAACCACTGACGTGAGATGGGTACCGTGGGGATAGGGACATCTGGTAGATGAGATAAGCAAAAGTTTATGGCATTATGTTGAATGCCATTTTCCTGCTTTAACTCAAAGGAAAGGTGAAGGATGTGGTGAGTGAACATCTTAATTCCGAAACTCCGTAAACTCCGTGGCATTTCCAGCTCCGTGCCTGCTGGGGCTTTCTGTGGGGGAATTCTGGTGTCTTTTCCCTTTATCTCTGAGCTGTTAGTGGGGGAGGAGGAAAACTCCCTCCTTCCACTGTCAGTGCTGGATAATTCTTCATCAGCTGCAAAAGGGTTTGATTTTCAGCAAGTATCAGGATGTACATGCTTGTGAGTAAATATCTGCTTCTAGACTATGGGCTTGTTACTGAGACACGCTGCTCAGCCATAAGAAGTATCTCTTCTTTAAATGACATTTTATTTATCTAATTGAAAGCAGAATATGGAGCTGGTAATTTGTTCTGGCAGTAAAGCTGTTTATTGACCCAGTATAGGAAAATCTCTGCTTTCTGCCTTATATATACCTGGTGCTTTCTCCTTACCTTCCAGCCAAGAAAAGGCCATGGTGAAGGTAGGGAAGGACACAGCCAGAATACCTTGGTCTTCTCCAGTTCTGCTAGTTAGGAGTTAGGTTCCACTGCATTCAGATATTCTGATGTAGCACATGGAGAGGCTTCCTGAAGCACAGAAGGAATGGGCTGTACATTTTTCTTTTCAGAAGACATTCCTCACCCTCAGAAGGAAAAAAGAATCTCATAACATTCCTGTACGTTTCCCCCCTCTTTCTTTCTGACATGCTGTAGGTTTTCAACAACCATCCGTTGAGAAGGCTTTAAGCATCTCAAGCTATATTCCCAGTTCTACAGATGTTCCTGAGAGGTTTATTTCTACACAAATGGTCAGTAGCAGCACTCCACCAGCTTCCACTGTAAAAATGATCACCGCTTGGAAGTCACCTAGTTCTCAGAGAAGTGCTTCTGTACAACCTCCTGTTGCTGGAAACGTTGCTCGTGCTCTGGGCACCATCAGTGGTCACCTTGCTAACGTGGAGGAGAGGTCTTCAGCACATGTTGCATCTTCAAGGAGCCAGGCTGTGTCACCTGAGAAGAAAACAAGGGTGCAAGCTGAGGCCTACGGCTACTTTGAGACCGGCAGGAAGACTTCTCCTAGCAGCAGAACAAATATAAGCAAAAGGCTTTCTTTGCCGAGCAAAGTCTTTAAAGGTGGCAAAGCTCACAGAGTTCAGCACCTATTAGCCAAGCACAAAGCGAGCCCTTTACCTTTGGTCCTTGTGGAGGCCACTGCTCCACCAAAACTGCTTCCTGAGGACCTGAGTGAAGTGGTGCTTCCCAGAGCAGTGACCTGTACTGATCTGCCCTGTTTCCCTGGGGTACCTTGTGAGCCGGGTCAGGATGGAAGCGCCAAGTGCGGCCGTTGTCCTTATGGTTATTTTGGGGATGGCTCCTCTTGCAGAGGTAAAGGCTTTGCAGAAAAGAGTCTTGTGACATCTTTATAACAAAGTACATTGTTACTGCGTGATCGGTGAAACAGAGTATTGAATTTTCTCATTTTCATTATTACTATTGGCACAGCCTACAGGCTTTGAGTTGCACGGATGTGCTTAGAAGTATTTTTTCTGAGGTGTCTCATGATCCCCCACTTATGGGCAGAGACCCAGTGGATTCTCTGTGAGCTGTTCATTATGTCAGGCAAGACACAGCTGGGCCAAAATGCCACTTTCATTTCCCTTATTCCTCTCTTTGTTCTCTTCACTGCCTTCCAGCAAGATGTAGACAAACATGTGGCAAAAATATGGAGTGTGTGGCACCCAATATTTGCAGATGCAAGCCTGGTTACGCTGGTTCTAACTGTCAGGCTGGTGAGTATGGCACTTTGGTTTAGCCTGCGGTAACTCATTTCTACAAATTCATGGTTTGAAGATCGCTGTTGATTTTTTTTTTTTTTTGCCCAGCTCTATGCAAACCTGATTGCAAAAACCATGGGAAATGCATTAAGCCCAACGTCTGTGAATGTCTGCCAGGGTACGGTGGCTCCGCTTGTGAGGAAGGTAAATAGAATATTTTTCGCCTTTGAAACCATAAATACCCAAAGGATGCTGCAAATAACTTCCATGACACTTCATTCTGACAGAAGAGGTGTGTTCATTTTACTTTTACTTAAACAGAACTCTTTGAGGTGGCATATACCCTGCTTTTTTTTGATATATATGTTGTTTGTGATTGGATATTCCTAAATTGAGCTTTTGCAGTAAGTAGAGGAGTTCACCAGCGCATGTCGATGCCTCTAAACTCAACACTCCCAAAGTCCTGTCTGGAAATGGTCTGGAGATTTCTTTTCAGGGTGGCTACCACCATTAGCATTCCTTCTTGTTACTTATTCTTGTCAAAAGGCATTGCACACATCTCCTTATTTTATTTCCAGTTCTTTGCTCGCTGTCAGTTATTAACATTTCCCTTTTTCTAAAGCCCACCCGACCCGTGCATCTTTTTAGAGGTGGTTTCTTGAACAGTGCAATTCTGTGTCTGCAGCTCACTGTAACCCCCCCTGTCAGAACGGAGGCACCTGCTTGGCCAGAAATCTCTGCACCTGCCCCTACGGCTTCGTGGGACCAAGATGTGACACAAGTGAGCACAAACACCTATGGGGAGAACAAACACCCTTCCTCCTGTTCGTCAGGAGAAAGAAAGCAAATTTAGGGCTTAAATTTTGGATGAACTCTGTCTAATGCCAACAAATGACATCATACCTTTGCCTCTTTGAAGGCTCCCGTACTTGGGCTTTTCAAACATTAGCTAGCACTGTAAAAATTGCAAATATTTTATTAGTTAGGATTGACGAAGGTGGAAACCTTGAGCATGCTGCGCGTGTGATACTACCTTTAGGACAGACACAGATGTTTAATATGGCCTTACAGCTTTTTACCTTCTAGCATCTGAAACTGGTGAGACACTGGGGTACAGTCAGAAGTTGGTGTCAGTGAATAGTGAGGCAGAGAAACTGGGAAACTGAGTTCAGAACCACATTATGGGGTCTTTTTTTTCTTTTTTTTTTACCTGGCATGGAAATTGGAAAACTTGCTGTGATCATAGCTGAGAAATTGAAATTAGTTAGTCTTACATACATTATCTTTTATATATCAAATTCTACATGTTGCAATTTGGCAACTCCCAATTTTTACCTGGCATGAAAATCGGAAAATTTGCTGTGATCATGGCTGAAAAATTGAAATTAGTTAGTCTTACATAAATCATCTTTTATATATCGAATTTTACATGTTGCAATTTGGCAACTCCCAATTTTGGGTAGATTTCATCCTGGTAATTTTTATCATCCAGACTCCAAATGTAGAGATGCTGTTTCTAGACCCTTTACCTAAATGTGCCACTGCTTTACTGACCATGAATTGAGAAAGTTCTTTGTTCTTTTCCTCCGCAAATCCCAGAGCTCTTCGTTCTCAGTTTTTCTTATTCTAGTTTCAATTCAATTAAAAAAAAAATAATAATGCTGCTCTTTTTTAAGCAATACTAAAGAGGATTAGATGTTGTCCTGAAGAAGTGATTCGTGGTTTTCCCCAGCCATGAAATGTTAATGTCTTTGCTTGTTAGTCTGGTGTCACTCTCTGCACGCAGCTGCAATTGCTGGAGTAGAGGACACTTGCATGAACTTTCTTGGAGTCCATCAAATCCATCATGTAACGTGGTCTGTTTGTCTCTTAATATTGAATTTTCCTTTTCTTTAAATTTAATTTGAAATTTTCTGGATTTTTAACAGTGAATATAACCAGGCCCTGGATAATTTCATGGAAAGATATTTTATTTACTTTTATAGCCTAGTGTTAGCTTATTTATGACTTTGAGACTGAATTAACCTGTCCAGCAATTCCTCTTCTCCTAATGGGATTGTATGGTATTTCAGCATTACATTTTAGGAAAGAACTGGAAAATGAATCAAGCACGATTTGTAACGTATCTATTTCTCTCTCTCCTTCCCCCTCCCAACTTTTCTCCTTTGTTTTTGCCCAACTTCCCACATGTAGTGGTTTGCAACAGGCACTGTGAAAACGGTGGGGAATGTCTAACTCCAGACATCTGCCAGTGCAAACCTGGGTGGTACGGCCCGACGTGCGCTACAGGTAACGCTCCTGCCACTGCCACCTCCCTGGGACCTCCCAGACTTTGAAATTTGGGACCGTGTGGCTCAGCTGGCAGCAACCTCTCTGCATGTTGGTTCCACTGCCAGCAGCATCCCTAGAAAGTCTAATGCTGATCCTAAAATTTCGGGTAAAGATTTTATGTGAATGGGCCAGTCTTTTTTTGTCAGTGCTGCCCAGTGACAGGACAAGAGGGAATGGGCACAAACTAGAACATGGGAAGTTCCATCTAAACATGAAGAGGAACTTCTCTCCTTTGAGGGTGGCAGAGCCCTGGCAGAGGCTGCCCAGAGAGGTGGTGGAGTCTCCTTCTCTGGAGACATTCAAACCCCACCTGGACACGTTCCTGTGGGACCTGCTCTGGGTGGACCTGCTTTGGCAGGGGGTTGGACTGGGTGATCTTCAGAGGTCCCTTCCAACCCCTGTGAGTCTGTGATTGTGGTGCTACCTGCAGTTATCTGAGGTGTTTAAATTCCTGTCCCTGCAACAGAAGTACCTATTTTATAGACTTTGTTTGGATGTCACCCTTCCCACTCCTCCTGACCCTGTTTCCACAGCAATGTGTGACCCTGTGTGTCTCAACGGTGGTTCCTGTACTAAGCCAGATGTTTGCCTCTGTCCACGTGGATTCTTTGGTGCCCAGTGTCAGAATGGTAATTCTAATTTTTCCCCCCCCTCCCCTCTTCGCTGCCGTGATGAGCAAATCTGTGAGAAAACATTGTTACCTTAAGATACAAAATTCACAATCAAGTCACTGAGAAGCGGTGCACAAAAGAGATTACATTATTTTTTAGATTTGATAGCTGGTTCAGTGAATGTCCAAGGAGAAGGGAGACTCAAAATTTGCCTTGGCTTCCACTCAGCTTTTTGAGCAGTTTTTTGAACTTCTGAACTAGTTCCACTGGGGACTCTATATCAGGGAATGTAGTGACAGGACAAGGCGTCTGGTTTTGAATTGAAAGAGGGGAGATTTAGACTGGATCTTAGGAAGAACTTCTTTGCTGTGAGGGTGGTGAGAGCCTGGCCCAGGTTGCCCAGAGAAGCTGTGGCTGCCCCATCCCTGGAGGGGTTCAAGGCCAGGCTGGATGGGGCTTGGAGCAACCTGGTCTGGTGGGAGGTGTCCCTGCCCAGGGCAGGGGGTTGGAACTGGATGATCTTTAAGGTCCCTTCCAACCCAAACCATTCTGTGTGTCTGTGATCGTATGTTAGGTAGTTCTGGTTCCTTGTGTACAAACACAGTTGCCAACCTTGTTCTCTTTTTATCTTTTCCTCCTATTTGTATCTTTTAGCTGTCTGCAGCCCCCCTTGTAAGAACGGTGGTCATTGCATGAGAAATAACATCTGTACTTGTCCTGATGGGTACACAGGCAGAAGATGTGAAAAAAGTAAGCCAGTGTTAAAAGCATTCCGGGATCTGCAAGTAACGAATAAATTATTCTGCAATCAGTTAAATATACTAAACAGCAGGTGATTTTCATTTTTAAGGTGTCTGCGAGCCAAGGTGTATGAATGGAGGAAGGTGTGTGGGGCCAAACGTCTGCTCCTGTCCTTCAGGATGGAGAGGAAAAAGATGTAACACTCGTAAGTATCTTGTAGTTAATAGGAAAACCGTAACTTAAAAGTAGTATATGTCTAAAGGACAGCTCTGCTCACACAGGTAATATGAAGTTAGTGCCAAAGAACTCAAGAATATACACATATTGAAAAAATAATGGCCTATGATTTGGCAGCAAAATTTAGGATGGAGAACTAATGCCACACAGTTCTTAGGCTAAACCACGAGACCAAAATATCTCTTAAATACTTGTATGGCAAATGATACTTGTTTCTCTCTCAATTCATGTCTAAATAAGAAACATCTGTGTTTCTGCAAAGAGCTGAGTCTAAAGAAAATTGAAAAGCATTTCAATTTGTGCTGTAGGATGTATTTCTTTAATAGAAAGAGAAGTACAGTGAAAGGTTGGAAAACTGTGGAAGCATAGTGGGAAATGATTGGAATAGAAGATGCAGTGGGCACAAGCTCTTTAGGAAAGATGGAAATAGGAGTGTGATGGTAGCAGAGCTGTGGGACACCTTGCATCCCAATGGAAATATCCATGGTGCATAAATAGAACGTGGCAGTGGGGATAAAAGCAGAGTGGGCAGGAAAATCAGCATGAGGATGGGTGGTAGAAATCCAACAGATAAAGTGTTGGTGTCTGCCATGGTACCCACCCGAGGCTCAGGTACTGACATGGCCAATGAGCTCTCTAATGGCTCGGAGGAAATACAATTTTCCCTGTATTTCTCTGTAATTATTGGAAAGTTTTATTGAAAAAATTATTACCCATATTGACAGGGGTGAGATCTTCTTGGACACTGTGGAAGTAAGATTTGATGATCAACTAGTCAGTTAACCAGTGAGAAATAATAGTGGGTTAGATTATGGCTTAATAAGCCGGGATGAATGTGCAGAAAAATGGGTCATAGGAAATAACTTTGGATCAAATGCTCACGAGTTGATTCACTGCATGTAAATTGCACAATAGACAAAAGATCTGTCACTAAGGTGTGGGTTTTAAGAAGGTACATTTGGAAAAAAACAAACCAAAGTCATTTAGTGGTGCTGACAATTCAGTATTTTGGGCTTTTGTAGTGATCTCTGATGCATCAGAACATCTCAATGTACGCTCCAGCTGTTGGGCTTTCTGTTTCTAGTTGTTGATCCTAGATAGATTTTCAGTGAATTTGGTGACTCAAGCACTCAACCACTTGTGGGCATCCTGAAATGTAGATAATAACTAATAGTCACTTGGGATGTAACCAAACTCTGTGATGTCTGTCCAGCAATCTGTCTTCAGGAATGTAAGAACGGTGGGGAGTGTATTGGACCAAGCACGTGTCACTGTCCTCCGCAGTGGGAAGGAATCCAGTGTCAAACACGTAAGAATGTTGAGACCTGAAACCTCTTAGCACTGTTAAGAATACTTCAGCAATACATAGAGCCTAGAAGTCCTGCACCTTGCTTGTATTTTAACCCAAATCTGTGTCAAAGGAAGGATAAAGAGTAGAGATTCCTTCGCTTGTTCTGAAACCTTCGAGAAGAATGTAGAACCATAGAATTGCCCAGGTTGGAAGGGACCTTTCAGATCATCGAGTCCAACCATGAACCTAACACTGACAAAAAACATCACTAACCCATGTCTCTAAGCACTATGTCAACCCATCTTTTGAACACCTCCAGGGATGGTGCCTCAACCACCTCCCCGGGTAGCCAAGGCTTTTGTTCTTCTGCTCTAACAGCCCTGAGAGGCTTGAAATAATGGTATGCATTAAAAACCACCTTACTCATGTCCCTGTCTCACCTTCCTTCATGCCCTCAGCATGTTCCCATAATTCTGCATCAAAGCACGTCGTGGGTGGGAGGGACATCAGAACATTGTCAGCTCCATATGAAGCTTCCATAGATTGAGGGGGGTTTCCCTGTGCAAATACCTAGCAAAAAGCAGGCAGAATAGGTATATAGAGATAGCAGCCACTTTGCCTTCACCAAGTTGTTTCCATGACTAAGGCCACATGCCTCTCTCTCTCTCTCACCTTAGCTGTGTGCAACCAGCAGTGTCTGTTTGGAGGCAAGTGCGTGCTGCCCAACGTCTGCTCCTGCCGTCCCGGCTACACCGGGGTCCTCTGCGGGAAGAAAATTCAGGTACATATAGAGTCAAAACACCCATCACAGATACAGCAGTTTGGGAATCACTCTCCAGTCAACCCTCGTCCAGCGAAGCAGCATGAAATACCCCAGATGTGATTGTCTCATTTCTTCCTCTCAGTCTCCAGTGAGGGGAGAAATGCACAGAATCCCTAAGAGCTGTTCCAGTAATTTATAGGGAAGAGCATCCCGCTGCTGCCTTTCTCAGCTTGCGTGGGGTCAAGCCCTGTTCCTTCTCCACTAACTCCATGTCACCCAGCTCATCCCTGCTCCTGCCCATTGCCCTGTTTTATCCCATAATCTCCTGTTGCCTTCCTTTGCCTGCGTGCCAACAGTCACTCACTGGAGTCATTTAATTAAACATCTCCTTACAACTAACCTTTTTTTTTGCGGTGTCTCAAGCAGAAACCGTTCTACTCTTCTCGCACCATGGTATTTCTTTTCTTCTCATTTCAGCACATTTAGACACTTTTCTGGTGCCAGTAGGACTCTTTGGTGGCACTGGGACATGGCCTGGCTAATTTTGGCGCTGCGTGTGGGTGCTGGTCCTTTATGGGACACCTTTATTTCACACCACTGCTCACACCTATACTCTTTTTTCTTTTAAAAACCAATTCCCTCTTCGGTCTCCTGCTGCAGCCAAAATAACATCTTCTACCCTTCCCATCTTGCCTTTGCTTTACATTATGTCTTTTAATATCAAACCTGCAACGGGACTGCTAGATGCACAGGTATTTTTAGGGAGAAATGGGTAAAAACCCAGGGAAGACAGCAATAGTTTAACTTTCATCCAGCCTCAGTTTCTCCCAGTTGAAACTACTCGGAGTTCAGATCTTTTTTTCCACTTTATCAAGTCGGAAATACAATGCCAATCCCATCTGTGCTCAGACAGCAGAGAACTACAGATGGGGCAAATATGTTTAAGAAACTGAAACTATTAATAAATGCTGTTATACACTATAAAACTACGCATCCTGTAAATATAAGACTATAATGTTTGCAATAGGGATTTCCAAAATGCGATCTAAAAAAAAGACATAATTTTAAGTGCTTACATAAACATATTCTGTAAAGCATTACTATAATTTTAATCTAAAGAATATTTTGCTGTAGGATACGCTGACCAAAATGGCACATTTTCTTAAAGAAATAAAGAAGCTCTATCCACAAATTTAACTTAATATGTTTCTGCATATCAGGAAAGCAGACATTCATTAAAATCATTTCTTAAACTTTACCATAAAAAGGGGCTGCATCATTAAAGTGTCTTTTTACCTTTTTTTTTTCCTTCAAGGTCCAAAGGCGTAATGGTTGAAGAAGAGAAGTCTAACAATTAAAGAGCAGTGCTGCGTGGATGTGTGGGACTTGAAAACAGGAAGGATGTTGAAGGCAATTGCAGAGTTTATTTAAATGAAAGGAATATCCCGAAGCATTATTTTAAAAGATTGTATTAGTCATGAAGTTTGGTGAACTTCAATGCAACAATCTTGTAGTCATTAAAATATATGTATATTTCTATAATTTTTTTGCTACCTCGTGCCCAAATCCCCCATCTCTGATTCTTCACTGGGCTCATGATTGATGCAAACCCCAAATTCTACAATTTGGTGATGAAGCCAATGGGACCACATGATTCCTTTTTGGGACTCGAGATGTTTATGCTGTTTCTCTTGTATAAAGGTACCACAGGGCAGTGGTGGGTCATTTCACTCACCTTCCACTCACTGCTTGGTTTAGACAAAAGATATTTTAGGGGCCTAGGACATCTCTCTGGTGAGGACAGGCTGAGGGACTTGGGTCTGTTTAGTCTGGGGGGGATCTGATCAACACCTATAAATACTGAAAGGGTGGGTGTCAGGAGGATGGGGCCAGGCTTTTTTCAGTGGTGCCCAGGGACAGGACAAGAGGGAATGGGCACAAACTGGAACATAAGTTCCATCTCAACATGAGGAGGAACTTCTCTCCTTTGAGGGTGGCAGAGCCCTGGTGGAGTCTCCATCTCTGGAGACATTCAAACCCCCCCCCGGACATGTTCCTGTGGGACCTGCTCTGGGTGGACCTGCTCTGGCAGGGGGTTGGACTGGATGATCTCCAGAGGTCCCTTCCAACCCCATTTCATTCTGTGATGTTACAGATAAACCAAGTGACTCCATTCTTGCTACAACCACTTGCAGCAGAGAAAATACAGACAAACCAAGTGACTCCACTCTTGCTACAACCACTTGCAGCAGAGAAAATATAAATGGTAAAATGTGCGTCAGTAACTCAAAAAGAAGAAACACTTCTCACCTTTTCACACACATTTTAAACAGACAGAATATCAAAAAACACCACCAGTGCACTACCCCTACACCTTTTCCAGTTGTTTTTAGTAAAAATCAGAGCGTGTGTCTAAGCTGTTACAGTTGGCTCTAGTAAGTAAGGGAGGGAACCTGTTTTGTGTCGTTTTTCCTAACCCTCAGCTGCATCCATACATTCTACTTTACGTTCTAATTTAAAATAAATACCAGCAAATTAACTTTTAAACTCCCTTGAAATATTGCAGAGATTTAAATGGTTTTGCTTTAAAACAAGACCAAAACCAAAAAACGCCAAGGAAAAGCCCTGTAGCCAGTAGATGGTGCTACGTTCAAGCAGTATTTCTGAAATAGACCATCACCTTCCCCCGGCATCCAGTTCCCCGACTTTCTTCACTCCTTTCTAAACAGAGAATTATTTCAATTGCCATTTGTTCTGCCCTGCTCAGAAGCACCAATTACAGGTCTCACTCACCGACTGCTCCTGGTCCCGTGCTCCTAATGATGCCAATATCTATCTCTTTTGGCTTATCATCACCATTATTGTCACTTTTGGCTTTATTAGTAGAAGTCACTCTTTTCAGGAGCAATACTGAGAGATTCTGCCTCTCTGCATTCACATCCTTCTGCTCATTCACTCTGAAATCTTGAGTCTGAGGCAATTAATTTTTTTCTGTTCACATCCCTGTAAGCAGGATGTCATCTGAGGTACCCAACTTAACTCCTGAAATTCTAAATTATGGCATCATTATTGTTGTGAACCGTAACACAGAATTTCATCATCATAAAGCCTTCTCTGGATTCTGCCTCTCTGCATTCACATCCTTCTGCTCATTCACTCTGAAATCTTGAGTCTGAGGCAATTAATTTTTTTCTGTTCACATCCCTGTAAGCAGGATGTCATCTGAGGTACCCAACTTAACTCCTGAAATTCTAAATTATGGCATCATTATTGTTGTGAACCGTAACACAGAATTTCATCATCATAAAGCCTTCTCCAGACCCGCTGATGAAACTGTATTTTTCACCAATGTGTCTGAAATCACAGAATTATAGAATGGTTTGGGTTAGAAGGGACCTTCAAGATCATTGAGTTCCAACCCCCTGCCCTGGGCAGGGACACCTCCCACCAGACCAGGTTGCTCCAAGCCCCATCCAGCCTGGCCTTGAACCCCTCCAGGGATGGGGCAGCCACAGCTTCTCTGGGCAACCTGGGCCAGGCTCTCACCACCCTCACACCAAAGAATTTCTTCATGAGATCTCATTTAAATCTCTCCTCTTTCAGTGTCAAACCCTTCCTCCTCATCCTATGGCTCCCTCCCTAATCCAGAGTCCCTCCCCATCTCTCCTGGAGCCTCCTTCAGGTACTGGAAGGGGCTCTAAAGTCTCCCCAGAGCCTTCTCTTCTCCAGGCTGTACAACCCCAACTCTCCCAGCCTGTCCTCAGAGGAGAGGGGCTCCAGCCCTCGGAGCATCAAAAACATCCAGTCTATCACCACAAAAGCAGCACAAAACCCATATTCTCATCTTATTGTGTGCCCTGCCCTGGCAACAAAACCTGCACAATGTGTGTCCGTAGCAGGTTTCATCAGAACCAAACACAACAGCCTCCAAAGCAAGGGCAGAAGAACCATACTCTGCTCTTAATTCTGTGCCCTGCCCCGGCAACAAAACCTGCACAACATGTGTCCGTAGCAGGTTTCATCTGAACCAAACACAACAGCCTCCAAAGCAAGGGCAGAGGAAGCTTCTCAACTACACAACACACCAATTCATAGCTCCTAACAGGAAAAGGGGACCCTCAGGAACTAAAGCATTGTCTTTCACTTGCCCTCCATATGCTCGGCTTCTCTCATTTAGAGAAGGTGGGTAACCAAGAAGACCCCGTTTCCTTTGCTTCTGGTCAATGCCCAGTGGCTTGTAACCCCTGGAGAAACATGGTTGTATAAATCACTCCACCTGTGGAAGCAACACGTTCTGGTAAGGGAGCTCGTAGGCATTATTCCATCAAATGGATAAAAGCCCTGCACAGGCAAATGGGTTACTCTAATGCATAGTTAAAGTTCTTTCACCAGAAATTCCAGTGTCACCTAGAAAACAATGAAAATCAATCTATCTCTAAAAAAAAAAATTGATTTGGGCATTATTCAGAGAGTTGATTGATTCAACCTGTGTGTTTTGGCCTTCCAAACCCTTCCAAACCCTTCCAAACCTTTTCCAACTGTTCAAGAAACAGCACAGATGAGACGCAGAACGACGAACACAGGAGTCTTGGTCCAACACTCAGCCCGTTCCAAAGGCTGCAAAAGCTCAGTGAGGCCCAACTGGAACATCTCCAGGAGACAACCCCAGCGTCCTCCACACCAGGGATTTGGGATGGGCATGGCTCTTCCTCGCTGCCGGGCTGCAGCCTCCCAGACACTGCTCCTGTAACGACACAGCCTCCAACAGGAATGAATCATCCACGTCTACATCTTCAGAAGGGAGATAAAACCCATTTCCCCATCTTACCGGGACGGCTGCCGGGCTGCAGCCTCCCATGACACTGCTCCTGTAACGACACAGCCTCCAACGGGAATGAATCATCCACGTCTACATCTTCAGAAGGGAGATAAAACCCATTTCCCCATCTTACCGGGATCAGGGAAAGAAATAAGTGGAAGTTGAGAGATGATCAGATAACGTGATGGTAGAAGTAGACAAGATAAGGGCTCTTTTAGGGTATCATCACGGAACTGTCTGAACACGTACTCTTGTTTTGGTTTTTTTAATACTGCTTAGCTGATGGAGATCCAAATCTGAGGAGCAGGAAGCACACAAAGCGATAACCAGGATTTTAATACAATGCTTTGCACTTTGCTGATGTTCCAGAAAGATGCAAACTCTGCAAGTTTCCTCTTGAAACTGCATAATCTCGTTGAAGGAAAATTATTCTTCAAGCAACATCCACTTCTGGTGATCGGAATTAGGGACGTTTTCTTTTTTTAACAACACGTCGTTAATATAATGCAATAATTCTAGTCAAAGGGGGGAAAAAAAAATCAAAAAGAAGAGAACAGGCCTATTCTGAAGTACTTTATTTGAAGAGCAAATTTTATTTCAAGGTCAGCTGCATCAACCAAGACATGATACTTCTGCTTAGAAAAAAAATGAGGACAGAAGAAGCCACGTGCCATACACTACACACACTTGGACACTTGTAACAGCTGTGTTACAATCAGCTGTACTTTTCCTTCATACAGAAAAGCCTTTACTTAATATACTGAAGACAAAAAAAAACCACAACAACCTATCTGAAAGTAATTAGTTACCAAGTGTTCTTTTAAGGTCCCCCACTGCTGCTGACTCCACCTCTGCACAAAGAGTTCCACGAAGAAGACGCAGTTGAATTTTACTGAATTTTCTTCATTCCTTCCTTTTCTTTGTGCACTGCAGACCCGAGTAGGGCAGCCGACACCTGCAGACGTTGGGAGCGATGCATTTCCCCCCGTGCTGACAAGGGAGCTCACAGAGAGCTGAAACGAGACACCAGACACAGGGTACAGTCTCCAGCACAACGCAGCCTCATTTTTCTTCTCTGTCTCCCCGTGCCAGCTGAATTGTTCCCCCGTGATCGCACCGGGACAGTATAAATAAAAGCATAATGGCAGAAGTGAAAAGCAATGCCTCTCAATTTATGGCATCGTGGCCTTCACTGGGAAACAGCCACAGTGTGTCTACTCTTACTCATGCTCCGTTCTCCTTTTAAAACACCAGCATTTCTATTGTTCTTCAAGGCACGGGCTATTTTTGAGATGGATGCCGCCCCAAAAGTGAGGGAACAATAAAAATTCCCACTGAAATTTATTCAAGCCAGTTCTTGGATCTGCATCCACAAGGAAACAGTTGCCAAATACTGGCTGTTGCTCACAGGCTGCCCTTCTGTTCCCCCCCAAAGAAGGGCAGCAGAGGACTGAGAGGGCACAGCTTCAGTTGTTCCCTGGCTACACACCAGTTTGGGTAACGAGCCAGGGGCTGGAATTTGCTTATAAGCAAATCCTTCTGTACCAACACAAGTCAAACAGGATGCAGATCTAGTTAGTTCAGGAACAGTGATTATTTTGACATTAAGAACTCGAACTCTTCTATTACTTCTTGTTGGTGCAGGGAATGGAGCTATACAGGGTGCCAGAGCCCTGGAACAGGCTGCCCAGGGAGGTTGTGGAGTCCCCTTCTTTGGAGATTTTCAAGACCCGCCTGGATGCTCCTGAGTAACATGCTCTGACAAGCTCCAGGCAATCCTGCTTCAGCAGGGGAGTTGGACTAGATGATCCCTATGGTCCCTTCCAACTCTAAAAATTCAGTGAAATTCAGTGAAATTGTGTAAGTTCTTTGCATCTCCCATCCTTACCTTTTAATACCACCCTCTACCTCGATACACCAATGAATACAACGGATAAGCATTTTGCTGCTCAAATGGGAACGGTAAAGTACTATTTATAAAGGTTTCTTTGACTATATATATTGCAGAAGAACTAGTGCTGGCTGATTTAGATTCCTACAGCCACATAAAAAGTTCAAATGCAGAGGAATTAATCCAGAGACTTTGCAGCTACGATACTGAATTCAAAAGCAACGTTTAGATGAGCTTTCTCTCAGTTTCCCAGAGAGCAAACAAAAATCCTTTCCTTTTGACAATCTCAGGATCCTTGCCTTCAGCACGAGGGTGCTGCTGTTACGAGCACACAAGGCCCTGCCAGGGTAGGTTCAAGTTTTTATAATCATCACCTGCTTTTGTGAATCAAAATCTGGGAAAATGCAAGTGGTTGAATTTACTTAAGGTGGAGAAGTTCTTTCTGACCAAATTAAAGCGCTCTCTATTCTTTATGCATCCTTGTAAGATCCCCAGCATGCAGAAGCAGCTCTAATTTACAATTCTGAGATATCTTCCTACCAGCTTTGTTAGGCACTGAAGATGTGAAGACTGCGTTGGTAAATCAAACAAGTAGAGAAAAGGATAAAGGCAAAGTGTCAGGAGTCCTTTACCTAAGTGACACGCTCCGCCGACCCATCCCGCCGGACAGCTACAAATCCCAGGAGCCACACAAGCTCCATTATTCCGACAACCTTGAGGACAAATTGCTAGAAGAAAAGAAAGGGTAAGTCAGCAGGATTTATAAAACTGAGCTAAAAGAATTCTGACAGAGTGAAGGATTCAGGATGATACAAATCAAAATGGCAAAATGCATTTTCTTCCAGGCCAGAGACTCAACTGGTGGAAGTCTAAAGGCATTTCCAGGACCGTGGAAATGGAAAAAAAAATACATACACACTGTGTTAAGAATTTTGGATTAAATGTTAATAGACGTACACTTTAATGCTAAATTGACACTATTTTATCTGAGTATGCAGCAATAACACAGGTCCTTCATTTCTATAGCAATGCAATGCCATTTCCATAGTTAGCCTCTTCATCCTTTTAAAATGTTTTTGTTACTGCAGCTATATTTTTAATCAATATAAATATTTTCATTATGTAAACACACAAGGTACTGTGAACGACTCATGTCATGATAACGTCAGCTTGTTATCCTTATTTAATAGTAAAGTAATACAGGCATTTTAACTGAGAGAATGGTTCCTTCAAACTTTTCTCCTAGGAGAAAGACAGGGTTTAACTTGGTTTGTGGGTTTTATATTGCTTTTTGTACAGATTAAATAAGTAAGAATTCTATTCTCGAGAATGCAGTGATAAAAAACTGAGACTACTCCAAGGATAAATCTAGGAAATTATTTTTATTTCCAGTGCCCTCTCATCAGGACTTTTTTTACAGGCCTTAGGGACTGTTAGCAATTAGGTCACCCGTGGTACAAAAAAAAAAAGCACAGGAGTTTAGATACCCACCTTCTTGGCATCTTGATCCTGTCCAGCCAGAAGCACAAAGGCATTTCACAACTCCATTGACAGAGATGCATTCCCCCCCGTTCTGACAGCCTCCCTCACAGCTTACTGCAGAAGAACAGCATACACAGTGCATTTCAGAAGCAACACAGGACTCTGACTAATTATCTCTAAACAGCTGGTCCATCATCAACCCCTTGTTTTATCACATCTGCAAAGGCTAAAAATTGCAACTATTCAGAGCAAGGCACAGCCCCATAAGGAGGGAGCGTGTACGACAGCACCACGCCTGCAAACACCAGCTCAAAATGCAGTTAAAATTAAGCATGTGCTTAAAATCTTGTCGAGCATTTAGCCTGAGAGCACCAACAAACAAACACGATTATGGCTACGGCACAGCTCCTCCCACCCCAGCTGCTCATCAGCCACACCACAGTAACCACTAACGTGCACATTCTTATCCATCTCGCCAGATCACAGCTGGTAAATCAGTGGTTGTGGTCACAGATTCACAGATCTCCTTACCTGACAGGACCTACACATTCCAAGAGGAAGAAGAGAAGGGGATGTT